ATAGAATAAAGCAGCAAGAAAGAAAGAAGGGTTGCAGAAATTAATGTAAGGTAGAACAGTCGGTCGGTGCCACTTCAAAGTTGAATCTCCGGCCACCTAAGCAAAACAACAATTAATGGATTGTGGATGTGTGGGTCGGATGTTCCGATGAAGGAGGATAAATGTGGGCCCCGCATGACTGGTTGCAGATGCTTCTTGCTTGAGAGCGGCGCAACCTGCCAAATAAGGATACCACATTACCCGGCCGCTTCATCATCATCTCTCTCATTTGCCCACGGGTTCTTTGGAGCCTTTTGTAACCCAAACACCTTAATTGCTTGCTTCACGACAACATTTTTTAACCAATTTTTTTGTTTCGTCTCATGTATGTTCAACTTAAATCTAGTATCACATGCAATTTAATTTGACGGTGTAAATCAATTCCCAGACATGCTAAATTATAATGTGTATCCACCTAAATCTTGAAACATATATGTTTATTTTTAGTATACTTTACTTAAAAATAAATGTATATACGAAGGTAGGGGTTGCTATACTGTATAGAGAACGGAGTATTTATGCTCGGGATCCTTTGACAGTAGGTCGGTAATTTGCGGGTAAATAGTCCTCGGGTGTGAAATAGGTGAAAAGATCTATCTCTCAGTAATAAATGCGGTATTTATAGGAGAGGGGAGGGGACAACATCTGAGCCCTTGACATGGAGTGCATGTGGTGCGCATGCACGGTCAAGGTCGGGGCCGTAGGGGTTTGTGACGTGTGGTGCTATATTCCTGACAAGGTTATCATACTGAGGTTAGCCACCCGGTATTGACCTATCCAGGTCGATTCCCTTACAGAGCCCGGAAGACATATCCGTGTAGAAATTATGGATCTATAGTATAGAAATTATGGATCCAATTCTGTGTGCACCTTGCATGGTGCACACGGTTGCACAACATAATTTGCCGTGATTCATTTTGTAATGTAAATTTTGGTTTACGGCATAAGCATTGCTCAAACATCACAAATTATTCTGTGGACCCGAGTCCACCTTGCAAGGTGGACTCAGAAAATGTTCACAATTTACCTTTTAAAAATTTACAATTTGTATACTATGAACACACAATGTTAACATATATGTAATTGATTATCTTGTTTTGTATTCACAAATTCCTTTCAAATACTGCAGTCACACAATATTAACATATTAGGATGTATTGTATTCACAAATTTACTTCTACAACAGTTATGTACTTATGTACACAATTTATATTCTAAACGTTCACAATTACAATATTAAAAATACACAATTTATACGTCGTTTAGGGCAAAGTGAACCCTAATCCATAGTATAACAACTCCTCAAACGTTAATGGGCCAAATATGAGCCGTGTTCATTTGACAAATTATACTAGCACCATGGTTTACATTACAAAGTAAATCGCAGATAAGTAAGTAATCAATTTTAATATACTGAATATTTCTTTTTATTTTACTAAAATAAATATTTAGTATACAAAAGATAAATATTTAATGAATTAAAAATAAACTTTCAATATATTAATAATAAATATTATGCTAACAATTTATTTTGTAAGGTGAACTATTTTCTATGATATAATAATTATGGAGTATATTCATTTGGATTAGAAGACAAACTCAAGGCTGAAAGAATGGGCTATAAACTAGCCTGGTTATTGTTTCAATGGTCCAAGTTGCATCCACGTATAGTTTTGATGCCCACATGTCATATAGGCAGGCTAGGCCTAGAGGGCTAGCTACTCTTGGCAAATTATTATTTGATGTGTGGATCACGATTTTAAATAATGTTATTTTGATATTAAAAAATATTACTGATTAATTTCGTGCTTTACAAAGGTGTTAAAATAATGAACGTTTTAGTAAAATAATGTATTTTATGAGTTGGAATAATATATTTTATATGTGTTAGAATAATGAAAATTTTAGAATAAAATAATGCATTTTATGAGTTAGAATATGTATAATGTACTTTATGTGTTAAAAGAATAAAATTTTTGTGTAAGATAAGTATTTTATGAGTTAGAATAATGTACTTTATGTGTTAAAATAATATATTTTATGCATTATAATAATGTGCTTTATGTGTTTTTAAACCATATATGGTCCGGTCCATACAATAATGAATGGCTACTTTCTTGAGGGATATTACTTCTTGTCGTTTTTGCAGTTCTGTAATGGTTAGTTAGACCTGATAGCTTTAAGGAATATAATTCTGTGGTGTCAATGTCACACATATTTCTGAAGCTAAAAAACGAGAATGCAATGAGACAACTTGATAAGGTTTCCAAGCATGTCTTCAAAGCAACAATTTGATATGGCCGCTGGCATTTTGGCATTCCCAGGAAACAATGGCAAACAGCAAACTAGTAATATCTTAAAGCAACTTAAATTTATTTTTTTTTAAAAAATAAAATATTAACGTATAAACACTAAACCATTGAAAATTTTAATTAGAATCTTTTAAATAACATGTACATTGATATATTTTAATTTTTTTTTAAAAAATAAATTTATATATACATAAAGTCATTACTTTATTTTTTTTATTTTTTTATTTTTTGAAAAACCAATGTGGTTGCATTTATATAAGAATCGAAATAGAGTCCGGCAGGACCCCGTCCCAGTACATAGCTGTAGAAAAAGCAAAGGCAGATGATACATAAAGTCATTACTTTATTTTAATTTACAAATTTATATACATAAATATGATGTATATGCAGTTTAGTGTTGATGTACTTTAATGTTTAGATTTATAATTATATAGAACAAATATTATGAACATATTGCATGATAAACATTATTAAACATGATACGTTTGCAGTGTAATATTTATGTAAATTAAGATTTGCGTATATAAACATATAAAAGCAATATTATGAATATACTACATAGTTAATAGAAATATATATAATATGCATATAATTCAGTGTTTATGTATATTAATATTTAGGATTATAGATATATAGAATACATATTATGAAAATATTACTATATAGGTAATAAACAATGAGTTATGAGTTGTCAAACCTTAATGCAATTGTAATCCAGACCAGGCCAAGCAACTGCCTCAATATGTCAATTAACAATAAATCCCCATGTGTAATTGAATCGTTAAATGCATATATAATTATCAATAGGTAATAAGAACAATTAATAATACGCAATTGACCTATTCTTTTTGCTATTAATAAATATTAAAGGTATATAGTTTGATTATCTTTAACGAAAAATTGATTTTCCATAAATTAATAATACGCAATTGACCTATTCTTTCCATTAAAAAATGATTTTCATGGTTATTTTATTTTTTGTGCTATATATCCTCGCTCTCCACATTTGTTTTGAGTTTTGACCAAACTTGAATTTGCACTAACAACCAAACTAAACCAAACACGATTGAAAAATTAGATAACGCATGTTTGGTAAATGACGGTTAGTTAATAGCTATTAGTTGATTGGGTTAATTAGAGCTTTTTAAATGCTACTAATTCTATTACAATGTAGTATCCGTTCATGACTGCTCTCTCAACCTACTAAAGCACAAAGCGCCAATAAAGCCTCCACTATGACTCGAACTCCAATCATTTGCATGGACCGTGGTCCACACAATTGTGTGGACCATAAATAAAAAGTACATTTTTAATATACTAAGAGTACATTATTTATATACGTAAAGTACATTTTTAATATACTAAGGGTACATTATTTTATATAATGTACTTTTAGTACAAAAATAATGTACCTTCAGTACAAAAATAATGTACTTTTAATATATTAAAAATGTACTTGATATTTATGGTCCACACAATAATTTGCCCTCGAACTCACAACCTCCCATATGGGAGTCCAACTCGGATGCCATTAGACCACAAGGTATTGAGCTCTTGACACTAGTTGATAATATTAGTTGATTAATTTCAATTTTGGTCATATGACTATAGGGGTCTTGTTAATTTAAGTCCTTGACTTTTAAAAGTTTCAATTTAGTACCTTAACTATGCAATTTTTGTCAGTTTTGGTCACTCCGGCCAAATTGCCGGTCAAATTTCGCCGGAAAATTTTAATTGTTAAAATAACGAGGGTATTTTAATCATTTCACGTCTCTTTTCTTCTTCCCAGACGAGTCCATCCCTTCCTCTCCCGTTTCCAGTGAATGCAGTGAACTAAGATGATGGGGAAAAGAGGCTTGATGATATTAAAGATAGGGTTTAGAGGGAGAAAGAACGCCGGAAACGGGAGAGAAAGAGATGTACTCGCCGGAGAAGAAGAAAATAGACGTGAAACGACCAAAATACCCTTATTATTTTAACTATTAAAATTTTTCGGTGAAATTTGGTTGGCAATTTGGCCGGAGTGACTAAAATTGACAAAAATTGCATAGTTAAGGTACTAAATTGACACTTTTAAAAGTCAGGGATTGAAATTAACAAGACCCCTATAGTCATATAACCAAAATTGAAATTTCCTCTTAGTTGATTGTAAGAAAGTATTTAGTAAATTAGTTGTTAGCTGATAGCTGTTTGGTATAATTTCTTTACTAAAAAAGCTAATTGAAAAGGTTGCTTTGGGAAGCTTTTTGAATTTTAGCATTTTGGAGTTGATTTTTTAACTAAGTCAAACAATTAACAGTGGTCAAATAAGTTAAAATTGGCTGATAAGCTAATATTTACCAAATAGGGCCAAAATAATTTGAATGCATTAGATCGACTAAGGGTCAATTTAAAAACCAAAAAAATGTTTTTTGAAAAGTAATTTTCAGAATATGACTTATTTTTTTAAAAATATTTTAATTTTTTAGTGTTTGACTGAATGTCAAAAATTATTATTTTTTATAATTACATTTTTTCTGTTTGGATCATTTTTAAAAAAATTAACATATAATAATAATAATAATAATAATAATAATAATAATAATAATAAGTGGTGATGGTGGTGGTGTGGTGGTTCCAGGTGGGGTGTTGGTTCCAGGTGGGGTGTTGGTGTAGTGGTGGTTGTGATGGTGTTGATGGTGGTGGTGTTGGTGGCGGTGGTGTAATGGTGGTTGTGATGGTGTTGGTGGTGGTGATGTTGGTGTTGGTGGGTCGGTGGCAGTGGTGGTGGTATGGTAGTGTTGGCCTGATAGTGGTGGCAGTGGTAGTAGTGTTGGTGTTGAGTGGTGGCAATAGTGGTGATAATGGTGGTGGTGGTGATTGTGTGTTGTGTTTGTGGTGCGGCGGTGGTGGGGTGATAGTTGTGGTAATAATAATAATATGAAAACTAACTTAAAAAAGAAGAGAGTGAAAATAAAAATGAAAAATAAAGAATTCAAAAAATGTATTTCAATTAAAAAATTATGAAGATATTTTCTACCAAATTGAATCTTTTTCGTTGACTATAATGAATCTTTTTTTTACTTAATTTTTCCATGAGTACCTAACACGGAAAAAATTCAAAAAGTAACATTCAAAAATCATTTTTTGAGTTTTCAAACGGACCTTAAGTTTACTCTTACAGTACTTTCACTTTAAAAAATGAACTATACTACGGAGTATTATATATATTATGCACTCGCTATTTTTGTACATTATTATAATTTCATCGCACTTTCAATAATAATAATTAGTATATATAATAAATAATAATAATTAAAAAAGTACAAAGTTAGAATAGTTGTATGTAATGAAAGTATTGCAAACCGGCCATTTATTACGTTGGTCGTTGGGAGAAAAAAAAAAGTGGCTATGGCATATAATGGAAGACACCTCATTGCTGATATACTTACACTATTTCCAAGAAATGTTCTTTTCACATGCTACCTACCAAACTAGACATCAAATTCAATTCTACCATAGCTTATATGTGTACAATTGTAAGTATAATGGAAACAATCAAAATTTTGGGTGTGTATAGAATTTGTTTTTCAATTGAATAAGATTATAAGTATGATTCTTTTGAAAAAAAAAATAATAAATAAATAAAAGAAGGCATTAACAACTAACTTCATTATATATGAAGAATTTTAATATATAGGGCTCTATTTGACAGAACTTATAACTTATTTTAATTTACTAATAAGCTATAAGCTATGTTTTGTAATGTCTAATAACGTTCCTAAAATAAGCTAGTAGCTTAAAATAAAAATTTATTTTAAAACGTCATCTTAGGTACCGTTTAAAAAAATAAGTTAGTAGCTTCCTAACCTTTTTTTTTTCATCTTTATTCTTATTATTTTAAATAAATGGCATCATTTATCATTCCCAATTAAAATCATTTTGGCATTTTTCTCTTCTCCTGTATTTTTACTTTTATTCGTCCTCTTCCGCAACTCTTAGCTTTACCGCCTAGCAATTCCTTAAAGTTTCAACTCCAATCGTCCGTTCATAAGTCCATTGATGCTCTGGCAAAATATATATACAGCCTCTCCCCTCTACCACTCCGCCACTGTCGCCGATTGAGATGAAGGCGATTCGTAAATTTAAGTGAGACCTCTATTGAGATGAAGGAGATTCACAACAATATTGCTACTTCATTATATATGTGATGCTAGATCATGATTATGCTAATAGTTTCATTTCAAAATGTTAAATTTTATTCCGTAATATATAAAAAACCTATTTAATTTTTATAATGATATCCTTTTTAGTCTTTTTACGTTTATCAGCTTATCAAAAAACTAAATTTACTAAACACTTTTAAGCATAATCAGCTAGCTTAACAACTCTTCAATTTTCAACTTACTTTTTATAGCTTTTTAGCTAGATTTGCCAAACATAGCCATAATTCAAAAACATATATTTATATTTCTATAAGTAACTTTGCATAGTTATTAAATGTTTATTTTATTGGAGTGGATTTAACATAAACCCAAAGAATACATGCATTTAGAAAATAAGGGTGTGTCCTCTTATCTTTCTCAGGTTTTTATACCTTCTTGAGTAATAAATAATTTTTTTTTTTTTTTTGACAAAAACCAAAGGAATTCTATTATTAAAATTGGATATGAAAAAAAGGAACAAATACACTCGGGAGGGATACTATCCCAACAATGAGAGTCAGACTGCAATCGTTATACCTTACACCACGGCGCGCGTAGCACTGTGCGCCGCGCACCTCTCGAAACGACGTCGTTTTGGGAGGCGCGGTAGGAAGTTGTTGTGATTATGTATATTTGTTCATACAATTATGTATATTTTTTATTATGTATATTTTTTATACAATTATGTACATTTTTTTTAATACAATTATGTACATCCGAATCAGGAAATTTTGTGTATTATGTTAAGAGTTGATGTGTATTATGTTAAAAGTTTATGTTTACTATGTATTATGTTAGATTATGTGTATTATCTTTTAAAAAACAGTATATATATTTTGTTATACAATTATGTACATTCATGTATACAATTATGTACATTCATGTATAACATTATGTACATTTTTGAACATGAGATTTTTTTAAGGAAAATTAACCGCCAAACACTGGGTAGCGAAATTTTTTTTAAAAAAATCTGAAACGACATCGTTTTGCATCTGGACGCATAATGCAACGCGCGCCGTGGTGTGGGATATAAATTGCCGTCAGACTGAGAGCCAATTACTCTTGCTAATTTGCGGGCAATTTGGTTGTTGAGTAATAAATAGTTAAATATACCTTTTTTTTGTTTGTTTTTTTTTTTTTTTTTTTTTTTTTTGTTTTTTGTTTTAGTATGTACTAAAAAAAATTCAATTTTTTGTTTGGTTATTTCAAGGATGCATACTATGATTGGTCACTCTTACCTCTAAAAATTAACTTTTTTGAGCATTTGATATGGTGAAGACAAAGCTAAGCCTTGGTCTATTGAAGACAAGGATCCTTGATCAATAGAAGACGAGAATCCTTGATAGATTGAGGATGAAGATCCATTGGGCTATTAGGGATGAGAATGCTTAGGCGTTTTAAGACAAGGATCCCTGGTACGGTTGTTGAGGATGAGAACTCTAGGTCTGACGAGGACGAAGACTTTGGTAAACCAAAGACAAATAAAGTGTTCCATGTTACTACCTCCTTCTGTTTACAAAGCCTTTCCTTTCGCCCTTGATTTTTCTAAAAGGCTGAACCGCAACCCTAAGGGGCCCCCACATTTGGGCCTTTCCTTTTGCCCTTGATTTTTCTAAAAGGTTAAACCCTAACCCTAAAGGCCCCCACATTTGGACCTTTCCTTTCGCTCTTGATTCTTCTAAAAGGTTGAACCCCAACCCTAAAGGCCCCACATTTGGGAGGATGTAAATCATGGTAACTCAATTAAACATAGACTGTGCTCACTGCGTACAAGGAACCCCCCTCACTTTCATGGTAACTCAATTGAACATAGACCGTGCTCACTGCGTACAAGGAACCCCCTTCACTTTCATGATAACTCAATTGAACATAGACCGTGCTCACTGCGCACATAGACCGTACTCTCCTCACTTTGAGAGATTGCTCCCACACAAGGAACTCCCTCACTTTGAGAGATTGCTCCCACATAGACCGTCCCCTCACTTTGAGAGATTGCTCCCACACAAGGAACTCCCTCACTTTGAGAAATTGCTCCCACATAGACTGTCCCCTCACTTTGAGAGATTGCTCCCACATAGACCGTGCTCACTGCGTACAGCGTACAAGGAACTCCCCTCACACATAGACCGTCCCTCACTTTGAGAGATTGCTCCCACATAGACCGTGCTCACTGCGTACAGCGTACAAGGAACTCCCCTCACACATAGACCGTCCCTCACTTTGAGAGATTGCTCCCACATAGACCGTGCTCACTGCGTACAGCGTACAAGGAACTCCCCTCACTTGCTCCCACATAGACCGTGCTCACTGCGTACAGCGTACAAGGAACTCCCCTCACACATAGACCGTCCCCTCACTTTGAGAGATTGCTCTCACATAGACCGTGCTCACTGCGTACAGCGTACAAGGAACTCCCCTCACTTGCTCCCACATAGACCGTGCTCACTGCGTACAGCGTACAAGGAACTCCCCATCACCTTTGAGAGATTGCTCCCACATAGACCGTGCTCACTGCTTTGAGAGATTGCTCCCACATAGACCGTGCTCACTGCGTACAACGTACAAGGAACTCCCCTCACTTTGAGAGATTGCTCCCACATAGACCGTGCTCACTGCGTACAGCGTACAAGGAACTCCCCTCACTAGCGTACAAGGAACTCCCCTCACTTTGCTCCCACACTGCCGCTGATAAGACTCGATCCCTGATTATTCTTCCAAAGTTTCACCTCTGTGATCAGTTGAGCTGCCCATGCGGGTCCTTTTGCCCTTGAGGATGCATATTGGTGTCCTCTACGTCCATTCCCAACATTAGCTAATATTGAATAATTAATTTATTACACATATTTTACAGCAACTATATTATATGCTAGTAAACATGTACAATTTGATAATTGTCAAATATCTCAATCTTCCCTGCTATTATAAATAGCAAGTGAGGATGCTAATTTTGTAAATAATTATTATTTTATTTAAGAAAAGAATTAATTTCACTTTTGGTCCCACGACTTTTGATGTTCTATCACTTTTGGTGCACAACTTTAAATTTTTTTAATTTTGGTGCCTAACTTTGTTATTTTTATCAGTTTTGGTCCTTCCAGCCAAATTGACGGTAAAATATTTCTGGATTTTATATTTTAGGGGCAAAATCGCCATCCCATGGAAAGATCTTCAATATTTAAACAAAAGAAAAACCATATTAAGAGGAAAAAAAGAGTTTGCCAATGGTCGAAACTATAAATCCCATAGATCTGTCTGGTTTCTGCCCGTCTTCCACATTATTCTCATCATCAAACACATATAGATATGATTTTACAGGATGATTTTGTTTAGATATTGAAGATGTTGCCTTGGGATGATGATTTTACCCCTAACAATATAAAATCCAGCAACATTTCGCTGTCAAATTCGCCAAAAGGACCAAAACTGATAAAAATAACAAAGTTAGGCACCAAAATTAAAAAAATTTAAAGTTGTGCACCAAAAGTGATAGAACATCAAAAGTCGTGGGACCAAAAGTGAAATTAATTCTTTAAGAAAATAATAGCTAAATTTTTTTTTTAAAATCTATAGTACGTAATAAAAACATTACTTTTTTGACATCTTAAAATGTTCAAAATTTAAAGATAAGTTGACTTTGAATGAGTATACGTGTAATACATACGGTAAGTATTACGTCGGAGATTTCTGGCAAATGTATAAACGTTGGCAACAGCCGCCCTCTTTCCCATTTATTTTGTCGTATAATATATGCCGATGACCCCTCAGTCCTCAGTCGCCCCCCCCCCCCCCCCCCCCCCTAACACGATATATTATTTCCCTTTAAAACTTTTTCTAGTCTACTCTGTCATCCTCTACCCACCCCTCTTCTTTAATTTTCAGATCATCACCGGCGCTCGGCGTTTGATCTGACATGGATCTCAGAACCGCGGCTTCTCTCTTCCTCGCCGCCGCCCTTCTTTTGGCCTTCCACGGCTGCGCGGCTCTCAAGGTACAAGTGTACAACCACCTGTCGTTCGTACGTTGGTTGTCCTGTCTATTTTCATTTTCCTTTGAGAGTGACAAGCAAATTAAATACTACGTAGTTTTCTTAAATATAACTCTCCGATTTGAAACGTTAACAGCAAGGTGAAAGATGCGTGTCCAATAGCCGGTGTGACGCCGGGCTGCATTGCGAGACCTGCATCGCCGGAGGCATGCTAACGCCTCACTGTACTCGCATTCAACCGCTCAATCCATTCTCCAAGGTAACCAATTAAAATTCTTAACATTTTTTCTAATCCGGAATCAGTTAATACGGTGATGATGAATTGAATTATATTATGAGCTAGCGCAGGTGAAAGGGTTGCCGTTTAATCGGTACTCGTGGCTAACGACCCACAACTCGTTTGCCAAATTGGGTGTGAAGTCGGGCACCGGAGACGCCTTGCTCACCACCATGAACCAGCAGGATTCCATCACCGAACAGCTCAATGTATGTATAGTAATCAGCTAACTTTTATTAATTTTCTCTAATTATTACATGTTTTACTATGTTATGGGGAACGTGTATAGATTGAAGCAGTCCATCGGGAAGTAGTTATGTGTAGAAAGAAGACTTGAATTGGTAAAGGAAGAAAGAACTAACATACAACTTGTGGCTGGCATATTCGCCTACTTTTTCAAATTTAATTGATTATAAAATATAATAAATGATTACATAATGTAAGTGGACTTTCTTATTGTAGTATGTGAGGTTTGGTATGGACGGCGTTTGTGGGATGAATTAATAATTCTGATCCTAGAATTGATGTCATGCCATTTACAATTTTTTTCTAATCAAAGAATCTTTGTTTTTTTTTTTTTTTTTTTTTTTTTTTTTTTTCTAATTTGAGAATCGAAATGTTGGTTAATGGTGGATATGATGCAGAATGGTGTGAGGGGTTTGATGCTGGATATGTACGACTTCAACAACGACATATGGCTATGCCACTCCTTTGGAGGGAAATGCTACAATTTCACGGCGTTCCAGCCGGCGATCAACGTGCTCAACGAACTTCGACTCTTTCTCGAAGCAAACCCCGCCGAGATAATCACCGTCATTATCGAAGACTACGTTACATCTCCCAACGGACTAAACAAGGTTTTCGATGCCGCCGGTCTGAGGAAGTTCTGGTTCCCCGTTTCTCGGATGCCAAAGAACGGCGCCGACTGGCCTTCCGTCGATGATATGGCTAAGAAGAATCAGCGTTTACTCGTTTTCACTTCTAAATCTGCCAAAGAATCCTCCGAAGGCATCGCCTACCAATGGAGATACATGGTAGAAAACCAATGTGAGTCAGTTAGTTTCCAACATTTTTTTCATCATATCGTACCTTAAACTATATATATTAGTGGGTTTTAATTTGAATGTATAATATATAGATGGAGATGATGGGATGAAAAACAGTTCGTGTCCTAATCGCGGTGAATCACCGGCCATGAACACCCGATCAAGGTCATTGGTTCTGATGAACTATTTTCCGAGCGCCCCGAATTTGGCCCAAGCTTGCAAACATAACTCCGAATCATTAAGGAGCATGATGAATACGTGTTTTGAAGCTTCTGGTAAAAGATGGTCTAACTTTATTGCCGTTGATTTTTACAAGGTAATTATTAATTAATGATTAATTTGTTGTTAATCATAATCTCTGCTTGAGAAAACCAAACATTTTTTAGTTTCTTCAATTTTTATCTCTGTTCATCTTCAGAGGAGTGATGGAGGAGGAGCCCCTGAAGCTGTAGATGAGGCAAATGGTCAATTAGTCTGCGGCTGCGCTAACATTTCTTCTTGCAAGGTAATTATAATGGTGAATTTTAAGTTGCTTTTGTCCAATTGTTAACTTGATAATTATAAGATTTAGAGATCTATTGATTTTCTTGATTTAAGCTGGTTAGCTATGAACAACTTAGGCTGGTTTACTCGTGCATACCATTGAGTAGTGACTACTAATTTCTTTCATCACCTAAAAAATGTGAATTTTAAGTCGATTCCTAGTATATTAAAGTTTTTACTCGATTTAATTTTTGTGTGCAGAATAATATGACTTTCGGAGATTGTGAGTTGCCAAAGGCCGAAGTTGCTCCAACAGCAGCAGTAGCTAAAAGGGAAACAAGCTCTTCAAGTGTTGATAGAAGAAGAGCATTATTATTTGAATTGCCATGGCTGCTTGTTACATCTTTACTGCCTCTTTTCTTGTCATAACAGTCGCCTTTTTGGCATTTGACTAATTAGTTCATATGTACATTTAATTTGTGGACAATAATTAGAATTGATGATATGATTCCTGGAAACTACATTCTCCACCCCTAGTATATGTGTGTGATCATATTGGCCCTGTTTGGTAAAAAATTGAACTATAGGCTAATTTTGGCTTATTTGATTACTATTAATTGTTTGATTAAGTTAAAATATCAATATAAGTGTTTGATTAATTAAACTTTTACAATTTCAAAATGCTAAAATTCAAAAAGCTACCCCAAACAACTTTTTCAATTAAGTATTTCACCAAATAAATTATACCAAACAGCTATCAACTAACAGCTAATTTACCAAACACTTTTTACAACAGCTAATATTATCGATCAACTAGTTAACTAATGTTATCAACTAATTATACCCTCTAATTAACACAATCAGCTAAGAGTCATTTACCAAACAAGCCAATTATATATATTACATCGAAGTCAAGTTAATTTACGGAGCTCTGATCTAAACTCCCGTGTGTTTTGAAGGTGATTTTTTTTTTTTTTTAAATTATAATAATAAAATTTATTTTAATGGGAAAGGCTTTTTCTAAGCTTGGCTAGTTAGGTAATCAAATCACGGAAAGCGTTGTCCTCCACTTAAAATAATTTAATCGACATATCGTTGTCAATTGTCATTGGAAAATGTCTTTTTCCTTTTCTTCGTTACAAAAGTGTTTTTCCGTGCTTTTTTTTTTAATACATTTTTTATAATAAAAAAATCATGATATTAATTTAAAGGGATAAAATACAAATAAGTCACTCAACTATTTGAGAAATAACAATTAAACTATCAAACTCAAATAACTCCCAAATAAGTTATTAAACCCGGAAAAAAAAGAGCAAATAAGTCATTGAAGCCGGGAAAAAAGAGCAATTAACATTTTTAACAGGTTAACTCCAGGTTTTTGTTGATTGTATTGCCAAATGTTTATTTTATGTACGTTATTATTCTTATTGTTGTTAATATTATCCACTTGGACAATATTATATTTTAAAGTAATTAAAATCAAAACAGTTTATTTGATTGATTGATTGATTATTATTTTTTCACTGAATTTTCTGTCTAAAAAAATCATAATAAATAAATAAATCAGATCTAGACAATACAAAACTATTTTAATTATAATTACTTTAAAATATATTACTATGTAGGTAGATTATAATAAAAAAAAACGTAAATAAAATAAACATTTGGTAATCTAGTCAGCAAAAACTTAGAATTAACTTGTTAAAAATGTTAATTGATTTTTTCCTTCGAGTTCAATGGCTTATTTGAGAGTTATTTGAGTTCGATGACTTAATTGATATTTCTCAAATAGTTCAACTCATGTGCTCCACTCATATATACAACACATGAATAACAATATATAAAAACACACATGCAGCACATTAATTAAAATTTTAAAATGTCCCCCAAACATTAATTAATTAAATATTCATATACGCACCCAAAAAAAAACATCAAGAAAAAACATAGCACTAGTATTTCGATCTCCTATTGATATGAATGGGGATTGAATGCAACATGGATCAGTGATGGGCATGCAGTTACCCACAAACTCCTATAATCTCTGTTGCGGCTGCCTTGTAAATCTCTTCTACTGGAAATTGACCTTCATATCCACCTGCTATCACCTATTTCAACATATTGAATTAAACAAACCACATAAACATATAATATATAAACATAAAAGTACAGTTCAACTATCAATTTAGTCTTTTAATTAATTAAGATGGAGCACATTATTCTTCTATTTGGTATCAGAACCAATTCATGCCAGAGGTCATGGGATTCATTGCTTATAGGGTACGTATGATAAGGATGAGGAAGACTTACACGGGCATGGATCATGTACATGCTCTTATTATGGTCTGATGACACATGAGCAGATAGCACATCAATTTTGTACTTCTCCAGCACAGAGCAAATGGCAGCTAAGACACCAAACTTCTTAGAACAGCAAACGTTAATGTGTGCATCATTGCCACACACATTGAGTGTCACATTAGGAGAGGTCCATGTTTTAAAGACATCATCAGAAGGGGGTATAGATGTCATATGTGGGATGCTGCTCATCATCATCGTACCATTGTCGGAAGCAAATGTACCACATTGATCACCCATGTCCGTCATGCCCAAAATGGTTCTTGTTTTCGAACTTTCAAGCATTTCCGACTTTTGTCTCTGGAGGTCGCTCAACTTACTTTCAAGTCCCTTTATATGCTTCACGGCTTCATCAAGAATACTGGACTTGTCAACCTATTTCCAAAAATATATTCAAATTAATTTTCGTCTAGAAAAGAATATATAATAAAAAAGATATTTGTTAGTGTTTATATAAAACTTGTGTGAGAGCATCTCAGATGAAAATGTAAGAATTAATGTCATATTTAGTAACATAGTTAGCTTATCAGTCAATTTTGACTTATTTGACTTAGTTAAACAGTCGTAGTATTACATTTTTCTTCAAAGATATTACATTTTCACTTATAACATACAAGTAACAAACACTTTGGGAGTGTTTGGTAAATACTTGTTAGCTGATTGTGTTAGTGGCTTTGACTAGTTGATAACATTAACTTATTGTAGAAAGATGTTTGGTAAATTAGCTAATAGCTGATTACATGCAAAATGACTTTCTCAAAAATATGCTTGAAAAAAACCGCTTTGAGCAATTTTTTTTTAATTTTTAATTTTAACATTTTACAACAATAAGTTGTTACAATTTTCAATTAGTTGATAAAAAAAATGACATTTTTTTATTTTTTAAAAAATACTTAATTAGATTACCTTATTAGGATGAAACTGATGAGGAAGCAAAGCTTGAAGATTAGTGAACATGTCTCTCATCTTCTTCCTCCTCTCTCTCTCAGTCCATAGATGTCTTTCATGATTTCCTACAGGCTCTCTAACATCATCACCACTGTCGTTAATATTCCCTGATGACACAACCCTCGTCACACTTGTTGATGCTGGAATTGCTACATCCACTTTAGGCAGCAATGGTGACTGACTAGAGGATGCATTGAAATCTGGAACTGTTTTTCTTGACTTTTCATTGCTCTCACCATCGGAATAATCACAGTCGTTGAGAAAGCAGGTCCATTCTTCATTATTTTCTGATAGGAAGGAATCTTGATCACCATTTATATCCATATCTTCTTCACTAATCTGCTTCGCGCAACAAATTTTTTTTGGAACTCTCTCTCTCTCTCTCTCTCTCTCTCTCTCTCTCCGCAGAATTTCCTGCTTTCGAATTCGCTACATCGAATACCCTGTTTGGCTGTCATATTTATTAAATGATGGAATCACAAAATTTTAAAAGAATGACTAATTGTGACAAGTAAATGAAATTCAATGGTGTAATGTGATAAAATTTAAAGAGTAGAATAAAGTTTGACAATATTGCAATAGTTGAAGACTAAGAGTACGTGAATTTACTCTTCCAATCCCTCCACATGCATGGATATACTTGTGCAAAATATCAATATAGAATTAATCATCATTTTGATCCCAAGATTATTTTTCAATTGTCAATGTAGTCCCTAATTTTCAATTTTAACTAATTTGATCCTCAAATAGTTTAAAATTTCGTCAATTAAATCCTTACGAAGTGTTTGGTTAGAGGGAGGGAATTAGGTGGGAAAAGAATTGTAATTCTATGGGAGATGAATAATTTGAGAATAAAGTAATAATTTAAATTCAAGTGTTTGGTTTCAGGAATAGAATTACTGAGAATTTCAATTCCAATGTTTGGTATACATGGAATTGAAAGGAAATAAGTAGTATAAAGTCCAAAATGTTCATATTTAATAATAATAATAATAATAATAATAATAATAATAATAATAATAATTATTATTATTATCATCATCATCATCATTATTATTATTATTATTATTATTATTATTATTATTATTATTATTATTATTATTATTATTATTATTATTATTATTATTATTATTATTATTATTATTACCAAGTTACAAAAATTACCACACAAATGGATTTGCAATAGATATATTATACTCCTGCATTATATTAATTACAATAATATGTGGTCTATTTAATATTCCTAGTTTAGTTTTGTTTTTGTTTTTTTTTTTTTTGTAATTTCTGTGTATTACACGCATGGATTATATCTCTATCTCTATATATATTAAAGCAAAATAATTGCCTCTAAAATTTTCTCTCCAAATGTGAAAATATTTATTATATTCATATTAATTTATAAATAGATTCATGTAATTCCCAAAAAATTTCCCTCCAAATGTGAAAACATTTATTGTATTCATATTAATTTATAAATAGACTTATGTAATTCTCAAAAAATTTCCAAATGTGAAAACATTTATTGTATTCATATTAATTTATAAATAGATTCATGTAATTCATGTAATTTAACATGTTGAATAAAAGAAGAACATAATATTAGTTACTATTATAATTATATATCTATAGATAGATATATAGATTATAGTAATTATTATAGTAATAATAATTCACATACAGAATAAATTTTTCACATACAAAAACGCGGAATCATGTATCCTATTAGCCTTAACGAAATATTATTACTATAATTACTATTTACTATAATAATAATAATAATAATAATAATAATAATAATAATAATAATAATAATAATAATAATAATATAATACTATAATACTATACTATACTATACTATAATAACGAATTAGCCAATTTATAAATAAATTCATGTAATTCATGTAATTTAACATGTCGAGTAAAAGAAGAATATATTATTATTATTATTATTATTATTATTATTATTATTATAGTAATAATATTTAAATTAAATCACCCTATATATATTTAGTATTACAAATGATCATCCTTAATTAAATTAAATTATCCTTAATTAAATTATTTAAATTAAATCAGCCTATATATTTAGTATTACAAATAATTATTTAATAATTATTTTTAATTAAATTAGATCATTCTTAATTAAATCATTTAAATTAAATCAGCCTATATATATTTACTATTACAAATAATCATCCTTAATTAAATTAAATCATCCTAAATCAAATTCAATCACCCTTAATTAAATTATTTAAATTAAATCAATCCTTAATACAAAACGTAAAATCAGCCTTAATAACAATACAGAAATGCGAAATCATCCTATTAGCCAATTATTATTAGAGTGAATTTCATTTTTGGTCCTACTGTTATAGGGGTGTTTCCAATTTTAGTCCACCTTAATTTTTTTTGCCACTTTATGACCACTATTATTGAATGTGTTCCACTTTTAGTTCACCGTTAGTACTTCCATCAACAGGCCATGTAATCTAGGGGTATTTTGATCTTTCTTCTCATCCAAGACTATGTTTGACTAAAAGAAATGAGAACATTAAACCTAAAAGCTAAAAAATCTCGCCGGTCCACGTTGGAACGAACGAAACGATGTAGCTTTGGCTTCCCATTCTCGTTGTTCGAAGAGCCATCTTCGAATATCGGAGGAGGAGGACGAAGCACCTGGATTAAAAGAAAAGAGACAATCATAAAAAGACCAAAATACTCGTGGATTATACGGCCTCTTGACGAAAATATTAACGGTGGACTAAAAGTGGAACACATTCAATAACAGTGGTTGTAAAATGGCAAAAAAAATTAAGGTGGACTAAAATTGGAAACGCTCCTATAACAGTAGGACCAAAAATGAAATTCACTCTTATTATTACTATAACTAGTATTTTACCCGTGCGATGCACGGTATGAAAATTTAAGCATAAATGTTATGACCTTATATCAATTGTTATTTTGCTTATAAAAAATTAATCAATGCATAAATGTTATGGTCTCGTATCAATTGTTATTTTGCCTTTAAAAAATTAATCAATAATAATAATAAATAAATAAAAAAACTAATCAAAATTACAAACAATCTAAACTCACCAATACAATTTCCTCACAATAAAATTAAAAAAGAATTATGATTAAGAGTTGGATATGATACATGCATCTACAATTCCATTATATATATATATATATATATATATATATATATATATATATATATATATATATATATTACTATTTATAATAATAATAATAATAATAATTATAGTTGTTTGTGTTTTATTTTTGTAAGAAAAACCCCAACATATAAGTGACAATATTATTATGACAAATTAAGATAGGGTTTAGCTTGGTGTCTGTTTGTCCTTGAAGAAGACTGACTGATCAGTACAATCAACAGACGCTCTGCTAGATCGAGCCACTGAAGATCTGATAAAGGAAAGTTTTCTAAAAAGGCTGGGACGCGGTTATGAGATGACCGTTTTGGAAAGAATATCAGCGGATCAACGTGAAAGATATGGAACGAATCTTAAAGATTTCTTTCTTCACAAAAAGTCCTACCATCTACAATTATAGACATATTTAGAGAGTGTCCAAATCAAAGAAGTATATATATATATATATATATATATATATATCCTTATTAGTTCAAGAATTAGGGTTGCATTGATTGAAGCCGCAACACTCTATACTAAATAAAATACACATCTCTGGTTGTCATGCATCTTCTCAAGACAATTAGTTCTTGGTGATTATGAAGAAGAACTTGAGAAGTATCAACGTTGCTTAAAAGATAGGACGCGAAGATCACTCAGTTGTGGGAACAACGTGGGACTGCGTCATTGAAGCGGACTGCATCAGAGTTAGCTCTCCAATTGAAGGGATTTCATTGGACTTCTGCATGCGTGGCTCTCCGACTTCAACAATCCACTAAACCTTTGTAGACTGAGTACTGACCTTGTGTGAGGCACTTGGGTGAGATTGTTTTTTCTCTACCTTTGTACATTGGATTATGAGTTAGTGGATTGGACGCCTCAGTGATCGCCCCCCAGATGTAGATACACAATGTATCGAACTGGGTAAACAAACATATGTGTTGATTTACTTTCTGCCTTAGTTTTCCGCTTTTCAATTTATCTGCTATTATATCTGGATGACTGATCAATTGAGCATCTGAGTCAGTCAGTCCAGTATTCTGTTTGCTAGAAACTAAATCAATATCCATATACTGAGAATATGCAAAATTACATGTGGTATCAGAGCTTTTAAGTCTACATAGTGACTTGATCCATACGAGAAAAACTTTTTTCCTTTTTCTCTCTCTTTAAGAAGCTGTTTACTTGGTTGTCTGTTGGCTTTTAGACTGCTCTCTGCTTGTGTGTTCTGGCTGGTCGTCTGTTTTGATTCAGGATGGATGCAAGTATGAAACCACCAGAATTGGATGGTCACAACTATTCCTTCTGGAAGGCTCGAATGGAGATTTATCTTCAAGCACAAGGCACCAGAGTTTATCGTACTGTCCTCACTTGATGGAGTCCTCCGATAGTTCAGAATGCTGATGGAACTACTGAGATCAAACCAATGGAGACATGGACTGAAGATGAGATGTCGTCCTCTGATCTGAATAATAAAGCGCTGAATTCTATTGTAGGATCTCTACATGAATCAGTCTTTACCTTGGTTACAGGGATAAAAGAGGCAAAACGTGTATGGGAAATCCTTGAAACTAGATTTGAGGGTACTGGTGATGTCAAACAGTCAAAGCTTCAGATGGGTTTATCAGAGTTCGAAACTCTCAGGATGAGTGAAGAAGAAACTATCTCTAACTTCCATAGTCGTGTTCAGAATTTGATGAACAGAGCATCAGTACTTGGGGAACCATTTACAGATGAAAGAGTTGTCAAACAGATCCTTCGGTCTCTACCCAAACGATTCCGAATGAAAGTGACTACAATTCAGGAAAACACAGGCTGGGAGAAGAAGAGTGTGGGAGAGCTTATGGGTAATCTGCATACTTATGAACTTCAACTGTTGGCTGATGACGATCCTGCAGTCAGCAGAAAAGGTAAGTTGGTGGCTTTTGTAGCTGAGGCTGATCGAGAATCTGACACAGATGACATAGATGATGACGCCCTAGCCTTGTTAACAAACAATTTCAAGAAAATACTGAAAGGTTTCAATCGAAGAAGTCAAGGACAACCTAACAGGACTCAGTACAAAAGTGGAAACTCCTCATATAAGAAATTAGAACCGTCCTCATTCACAAAGAATAGTCAGTTTCAGGCTGGACGAACATGGCAATTCAGAACTACGCCTACTGACATAGTTAAAACTTTAAACCGGTCAGTGCAGTGTCGGGAGTGTGTAGGGTTTGGACATATAAAATCTGAATGTGCAACGTATCTCAAAAGAAAGAAATCTATGTCTGTGTCTACCCTAAGTGATGATGAAGAGGAAGCAACAGATGACCCGTCTGATGAAAATGTTGGAAACTTCGTAGCCTTCTTCACAACAACAGAGGATCACTCAGAAGAAGATGAAACTGATGGAGAATCCTACATATCATCAGATGATTTTGAAGAGAGACATGTTCAGCTAGAGATGGAATTTGCTAAACTGGTTGGCAGTTGGGAACAACTAGTGAAAATCAACAAGAATCTGAATGAAGATCTGAAACACAGAGATGAACTACTGAAGAAACTAAACACTGAATTAGTTACAAAAGAAGACCTTATTTCTCAGATCAGATCTCGAGAGGGAAAACTGATAAAAGAACTGGAGGATCTGAAGAAAACTATCAAGATGATGGATACCACGTCAACCTTAGACAAAATTCTAGATTCTGGTCGAAATCCTAATGATAAAAAGGGACTTGGATTTGAACGAGGACAGTCCTCAATGTCAGCTCCTATTTTTATCAAAGAAGGTACATCTAGTGGTGGTTCAGTTCTCTGTCATGAACGAGGCCAATCATCAAGATCAACTCAGTTCTATCAGAAAGGAAGCATGTCCACTCTGATCACTGAGGCTTAACCTAGCAGAGCCAAATTTCAGTCTCAGCACTCAAAGTTTAAGACTAAGTATGTTAAAGTCAGACAGTATGTACCCATTTGTCACTACTGTCTAACAAAAGGGCACACCAGACCTGAATGCTACTTCTTCTACAGAGATCAGAGGAAGGAGAAATATCAGTACAAATCTATCAGATTTAATTTCATATTAATTCCAATTTTAAATTACAGAATTAATTCTTAGGTCAACGGTGCTGTTACATGGGTGTTTTAATGTTATTTCTAAATGCTATTGAATTCCATCACCCCTATATAAGAGAGGGTAGAGCAGCAGACTTTTTCAACATAGAAAATCATATTTTCCAGCCTCAAAACTCTCTGCTTCTACTATCTTCTTAGCCTAATTGTGTTCATCACATTGCTCTAGTTCGCCGAATTCCTTGTTTGGGTTCTCAAACATTGAATCGTAGCAAGTTTTATCCTGGGAAGCCTAGGCTACAACGCTCCTAGCACTTGTGGGAGATAGCAAATAAGGTTTTAAGGAAAGAGTGATCGCTCGAATCATGCTAAAAACCCTACACCAAACACGAGCCTATCTCTTCATCTTTCTTTCCCTTTTTCTACACAAAATAATAATCCTTATTTTGTAGGATTATTATTCAGTTTTACCAACGCTTATCCAACATAAAGATCCGTGAGACGTTTTCACAGAAGAGTCACTCTTAACTAATTACTTAAACATAATAAATTAATAATTTATTTGGAAGGGATGAGGATTAGTATTTCTGAATAATCAATAATACAAGTCTGAACTAGAGTATAAGAATACTAGACTACGGGTCCTGTTACAATATGACTACTAATGATAATAGACTTCCTAACACTCCCCCTCAAGCACAAGGTTGCCAGGAAACAACATTGAGCTTGTCTCGCAGTAGAGCAAAACGTGGACTAGGCAATGCTTTGGTGAAGAGATCCGCTATCTGATCTTTCGTGGAAATAAAATTGACCTACAACTCCTTCTTGGCCACTTTGTCACGAACAAAGTGGTAATCAATCTCCACATGCTTCGTCCTGGCATGAAACACTGGATTGGCACACAAGTAAGTAGCTCCCAAGTTATCATACCACAATGTGGGAGGCAACCCCGGATGTAGACCAAGTTCAAGCGATAAAGAAGTCAACCAAGTTACCTCTGCAGATACATCAGTCAGTGCCTTGTACTCAGCCTCAGTAGAAGAACGAGCCATAGTGCGCTGTTTCTGACAAATGCAAGAAATTAAATTGCAACCAAGATAAACCGCAAAGCCACTCGTGGATTTTCTGTCAGTCAGATCACCAGCCCAATCCGAATCCGAAAAGGCATGCACATAAAATGAAGAGGGCGGACGAACATGTAAGCCAAAATGTTAAATCCTGTTGACGTACCGTAACACGCGTTTGAGCATAGCCCAATGCTTAGTAGTGGGCGAGTGCATGTGCTGACACAGGAAAGATCTGGTCGTGTGACTGTAAGATACTGGAGTGTCCCTACAAGACTCTGATACTGAGTGGGGTCCTCATAAGGAGTCACATGAGTAGTAGAAGTCCAAGACAAACAGACTGGAGTGACCAGAGGCTTACAATCAGTCATTCCTGCACGCTTCAAAGATACTGAGTGGGGTCCTCATAAGGAGTCACATGAGTAGTAGAAGTACGAGACAAACAGAATGGATTGACCAGAGGCTTACAATCAGTCATTCCTGCACGCTTCAAAATGTCTTGCATATACTGTTGCTGGGAAAGAAGCAAACTACCATTCCACGTGACCGTCTCAATACAAAGGAAAAAGGATGGAGCCCCCATGTCACGAATCTTAAACTCAGATGCCAGCTCTGCAAGAAGATGAGTGACCCTGGAAGAATCAGAACCCATGACCAGAATATCATTTACGTACACAAGCGAGTATAGATGAACAAAATCACGCGTATAAATAAATAAGGATACATCAGTCTTGGACGGTGTAAAACTAATAGAGACCAAAAAGGAATGAAGCTGATTAAACTAGGCCCGAGGGGCCTGCTTGAGGCCATACAACGACCGCTGCAACAAACAGACATGACTCAGCCGAGATTTGTCCTCATATCCCAGTAGCTGATGTAGACAGTCTCATCAAGATTGCCATTCAGGAAGGCGTTGTGGACATCCAACTGCCGAATGGTCCACCCATGAGAAACATCCAAAGATAAGAGAAGTCGAACCGTGGTCGGTTTAACCACCGGGTTAAAAGTCTCAAAAATATCTTGCCCGAGCACCTGGTTGAACCCCTTAGCCACCAACCGAGCCTTATGCCGCTCAATCGTGCCATCCTCCTTCCGTTTGGTCCTGAAAACCCATTTGCACCCTATAACATTCATGCCTGGACTGGGACTAACAAAACGCCAAGTATTGTTCACCAGTATAGCATTAAACTCTGAATCCATAGCCGCACGCTACTCCGGAAACCGAACCGCTTGAGAGTAACACGTTGGTTCAGAATCCGCCAATAAAGCAACATGCTGCGTTGGACCCTGGCTACGTGTCGCCATGACATGAGACCGTGGCTAGACCACCTTCACAGGCCACTTCACCGGACGAGACCAAGCAAGCCGTCCAACCTCCTGACCACCAGCCGGTGCCGGTTCTGAAATAGTCCGCCACTCCGACTCAAACAAAGCGGCAGAAGGAAATTCGGCCACAAGGGGCAACTCGGACTCAACAGGCGGTATAGATACACTGCCAACACCCCATGGAGCCACCGGAGCCGAACCTAAAGCCTGCACAATCACAGAAGATGCAAACGGATAAACAGATTCATCAAACCGCACATGACGGCAAATGAAAACCTTGTTAGTTACAGGATCTAAGCAACGATAGCCACAAAAAGAAGACGGATAAACAAGAAAGACACATGGAGAAGACCGATACTGCAATTTATTGCTGTCGTACGGACGCAACAAAAGATAGCAAAGACACCCAAAAACACGCAAAAAGGAGTAAGACGGATTAGAACGATGCAGCCGAAAATGAGGACTTACATTGTTCAGAACACGAGTAGGCATTTTATAATAAGATAGACCGTAGTCTCAAAAGCATAGTCTAAAAAACGTTGTGGAACCGAGGCTTGAGCCAACTAGGCCAGACCAGTTTCCACAACGTGACGATGCCTACGCTCTACCCGACCATTTTGCTCATGGGTATAGGCACAAGATTGCCTGTGATTAATACCCATGGAAGAAAAAGTATTATGCAAAAGTTTATATTCTCCCCCTAAATCAGACTGAATAGAGATAATTTTTTGATTAAATGAGCGTTCAACTAGTTACCGAAACTGATCAAAAATGGCATACACATCGGTTTTGGCACGCATAGGATAGAACCAAATATAGCGGGTATAGTCATCGACAAACAAAACGAAATAACGAAAGCCATTAACGGAAAGTAAAGGCGTTGGGCCGCAAATATCAGTATAAATAAGTTCCAACACATAAGAAGTAGTAGTTTCAACACGAGGGATGGGAAAACAAGAGGATTTCCCCATCATACAAGCACGAAAAGAAACCGAACTATCACTAAAACTAGAATTAATAGAACACGAATCTAAAATCTGACGCAAGACCCGAGTGTGCGGGTGACCCAACCGACCATGACAAACAGAAGAGGACACTTGAGAAGCCACCAACACGACAGGACTCGGACGAGACATCGGCCAAGAATAAAGACCACCCGAAACCTGGCCTTTATAGAAGACCTCCTTGGTTGAAAGATCCTTCACAAAGAAACAGTCAGGGTGAAACTCAAAATAAACATAGTTATCTTTTGCAAAACATTGCACAGACAATAGAGACGCAGACAACCACAGGAACATATAGAACATCAGATAACACAAACAATTTACGAGAGGAAGCTACCGAAGAAGAACCAGTACTAACAATAGGTAAACATTTACTGTTACCAACGTGGAGAGTGTCCGGACCAGAATATGGAGCCACAGAAGTCATCAATGACGGATCCGGAGTCGCGTGATTAGACGCACTAGTGTCCGGAAACCACTGTTGAGTCCCAACCGAAGCCGCATCATCCACCGAGTACGCAACATGTGTTTGCGGCCCGGGATCACCTTCAAACCGCCGGTAACAAGTGGCGGCCGAATGGCCATCAACTCCACAAATCTGACACCGAAATCCAGAGTGACGCCCACGGCCGCCGCGACCCCGGCCACGACGACGACCACCAGAATGGCCACCTCCACGCTGGTCACCAGACCGTCTACCTCGCTGAGAAGCCATGGCAACCGGAGCCGGGATGGTGCCGCCTCCGTCATCCGCACAAATGAACGCCTAAGAGACTAAAAAATCATAGAGCTCGTTTAAGGACACCGGAGCTCCCCTAGTCAACAACGCCACCAGAGGCCGGTACTCAGACCGGAAGCCGCGGAAGATATACATGTATTGGTCTTCGAGGGTCACCGGTCGGCCGGCAAGTGCCAAGTCTTCGATGAAAACTTGTGCATGGCCAAGGTAATCAGGAAAAGATGCATCACCTTGCCTCAATCCTTGCAACTCGCCAACCAGTCGAAGAGCATGCGCCCGAGTTGTTGACCCTAGGATTTGTTCAACCGACAACCAGAGCTGTCGAGAAGATGCTTGACCCACCGCTAAATGCATCATCTCCTCGGAGAGGGAAGAGACAGAATCGCCTTGTCTTGTCACAACCATGCAACGCGAGCAACAGAGAGGGCAGCGTGATTGGCGGTGGTCGCACCATCAGTCGGTGTGGTACCGTCAACAAACCCCAATAGCCCCTGACCATCAAGAAAGGGCAGAAGTTGAGTCCGCCAGAAGAGATAATTCCGGGAAGACAAATTGATTAAAACAAAGTGGTACGCAGAGAAGAACGAAACACCCGAATGCAATGGAGCCGCAAGAGCGGCATCGGAAACAGTCCGTTTGGAGCTACCGACAGAGCCGCCATCATCGAGATTTGCCATGGGAATAGGGATCGAAAACCTACTGATACCAGATGAGGATTAGTATTTCTGAATAATCAATAATACAAGTCTGAACTAGAGTATAAGAATACTTGACTACGAGTCTTGTTACAGTATGACTACTAATGATAATAGACTTCCTAATAGAAAGAACACAGACACTAGCTTGCAGCATTGTGAAAAAAAATAATTCAATTAGCTTATCAAATGCAAAAAAAAAAAAAAAAAAATAATAATAATTGTATTTTTTTTTTAAAAAAAATACTTAACTAGATTACCTTAGCAGGATGAAGGTGAAGGTGATGAGGAAGCAAAGCTTGAAGATTAGTGAACATGTTTCTCATCTTCTTCCTCCTCTCTCTTTCAGTCCATAGATGTCTTTCATGATTCCCTGCAGACTTTTTAACGTCATCTTCATTGTTCTTATCATCATCACCACTGTTGTTAATATTCCCTGATAACACAACTCTCGTCACACCTGTTGATGTTGCCACATCCACTTTAGGCTCCAATGATGACTCACCATAGGATGCATTGAAATCTGCTACTTTCTTTCTTGAATTGTCATTGCTCACACCATCGGAATAATCAGAGTTGAGAAAGGCCCATTCTTCATTATTTCCCGATAGGAAGGAATCTTGAACACCATTTACATCCATATCTTCCTCACGAATCAATTTCCCAACGAAAACACTTTGGAACTCTATCTATCTTTCTCTTCGTCTAAACTCTTTTAATTGAATTATGGATTGAAATTAGTCATATTTATTAAATGATGGAATGACAAAATTTTAAAAGAATGACTAATTGTGACAAGTAAATGAAATTCAATGATCTAATGTCAAAAAATTAAAAGAGTATGATAAAATTTGACAGTTGCAATAGTTAAAGACTAAAAGTGCGTTGGATTCATGTTATATTACATAACTAAGGGAATGTGACATTCCAGAGCTTACATTCCTATGTATGGTTAGGGAATATAACATTCTCAAGGAATAAAACATTCCATCCACATAGGATTTTGGAGGGAATGTGATTCCCTTCCCTTTCTTAGGTTATGTAAGATAACCTTGGATATTTATAAATTTTCCATTTTAATTCTAATGATTTAAAAATATATATTTTTTGTTAGCTTATATATATATATATATATATATATATATATATATATATATATATATATATATATATATATATATATATATATATATATATATAAAAGATAATCCTTAACCAAACATGATTATATTACATACCTCAATTTTAACCAAACACATGAATCTAACATTCAGTGAACCAAACGTTCCCTAAAAGTACGTGAATTTACTCTTCCAATCCTTCCACATAGATATAATTGTGCAAAATATTAATATATTTCATCATCATCATCATCATATTGATGAGGACGTTTTTCACGCATCCATCAAGTATCAAATCACAGTATAGAGTTTAGATATCGTTCCACTGGAGGTGGCTATTGTAATGTTAGGAATTGATGTAAAGTGGAGTTAAGCACAAGCTAAAACTACCATCTTAGAAGCTAGACCTAACGATAAGAAGTTGAGTTGATATGATTAAGCAAATAACAAATAAGACAAGTGAAACAAAGGACCGGAACTTGGTTGATTCAAGCTAAGATGTCAAATATTATACTAAGGATTAGGGAATTAAATCAAGGCATATGGTAAGTGAGATGCACAAAAGTGTCCAAATACCACTCTCGTAGCTATTTGGACTTGCAACCTCACATTGAACTCCACTATCGTGACAATTCAACCCAAGGATGTCCAAACAAGAACACAATGCAAAGATTCCCCTTAACACCCAAAATACTCTCGTATTGGGTATTAAGTGTGTGAATGTGTGGCTAGTGTACAAGCTCTACTCTCGTAGCAACAAACACACT